AACCACACACACACACACATGGAGGTTCCTTGTGACTAACCTGTCCAACCGCTCTAGGGCTGGAGCCAAGGAACTGAGCTATCCTCCCATACGTCGAGACCTTCCCTGTTGGAATCTGCAATCGATGTAAGGCAGATGAGACATTCACACCAGGTGATAGGGCACGACAGCTGGGAGTGCAGGGATGGAGGCAGAGAAACACAAGACATCACACAGCTTCGAAGCCGACAAGACAGCTCGCTCACTTGTTTGCATGCCGCGTACACCCTCCCCGCATGGCTCTGCGCTGCCACCTCTCCTGCCATCGTCGCACTCAGGGCCGGTGCAGCGGGCCCACCGTGGGCTCCGACCCTCCCCGGCTGCCCCGGCCCCGCCTTCCAACTGATTCAATTTTCACTCCGAGGCTCGCCGGAGCCTCGGAGCGCGGCGCCGGGCCCAGGCTGCCACGACGCGGTTACCCGGCGTGGCCCTATCGGGTCTTTAAGTGACGTGACAGTTAACTCAGATGGTTCACGTCGGACTCATCGCTGCAATTGTGCGGGGGAATGGTTCTGCGCGCAGTTAAGTGAAGGCCCGGTATCAGTTACTCAACTTGACGGTTCAAGTTTGGGGGACAGCAGTCGGCAGGATCATAGGGGTTTGGTTATCGCGGGGCTGCCCGGTGTCGGACGGTCACGCCTTTTCAGGGCCGCCGCGGCGGCTCGAGTCGCGGCGCTGACTCCGGCCGGCGCGGCGCCGAGGGCCGCTCCGAAGTTCCGACTGCGGGGCTTCAACATGATGCCAGCCGGATCGTATGCCCCTGAGCCGTGCCAGTCAGATAGCGCCGCGGCCCCCGGCGAGTTAACTTGGCAAAAACTCTCTGTAAACCAAGACGACTTACGTGTCAAGTTTCAAGGCGGCAATGTAGTGCAGAGACCGGCCGGATCAGGCGACGGTCACTGGCACTGATTGATCCCAGCCGATCATCGGATGAGCCGCCGAGGGCCATACAGCCGGGCAACGGTTGCCATGATCGGAAACTGCGGCCGGGCGACTGTACTACTCACAAGCGGCGACCGCCGCTGTGCGTCCGGCGCCCGGTGACTCAGGCTCCAAGCTGCTTCTTGCTCAGGCTCCTAGATCCTTCTCCATCCATCTTTTACCTACACACTCTCCTTCATAGAAACCTCGTCAGTACCCTCAACACTCCTCCACCACCTGAACTCGACTGTGCCGCACTGGACTTGTTCGTCAGGCTCCCCCTCTGATCAGTCAGACTCCCCAGACACCTTTCTGATCATCTCGTCATCCATCCCATCAGTCAGTGTGCTTCAAATCCCATCGATTTCAATTGTCACCCATCTGACTTTCTCAATCCAAATTTTCCACCCAATGATGTCCACCATTCATGACCAATGTGTTTGTCCTCAGTAAAGGTGTTAGAGACTGCACAGCTGTGTATCGTTGAGGTGAATAAGGTTGGTGTAAGGATCTCAGGTGTACTGAGAGTTAGTCTTTGGTGGATCTTGGGTTAAACAGATTCTGGCCAGTGAGGTGGAGGTTGATTCGATTATTATTGAATATAAAGAAGACCGCTGTGGCTCATCATTCCGGGCCCCGGCGAGTGTCGGGCCCGGCCCGCCGGACGGTCCTGATGATTGGCCTCGCCGTACTCACTGATTTTGAACTTTGAGTAACCGGAACGATAGCCATGAAAGAAGTTCGGAAGTATGAAAGAAGTTCGGAAGTATGCTGTTGACCAGAAATTGGCTAGGATGGATCACCAAAATTTGAACTTTTCCGAAGTATATTGGAATATTCCATTCATGTTCAAATATCAAACAGGCGGGAAGAACGTTTAGACCCTACCTGTTACAAACCATGATTCCTTGGGCCAGAATGGGGTAGTGCGAATCGCACCATCCCTTCACTTTTTTTTTGGTTTTTCTTCAGTTCATCAAACGGACGGCAGCAAGTGGGTGGGGTACATCATGCAAAAGACCTCGGATGGTGGGGTGTGCAAAAAATACCGGTACAGATAAATCTCTCCTTTACATACCCCTTTCTTCTTAGAAAGAATTGTGGAATTAAGAGGGGTAATAAGAAAACTTCATCATCCCCTGGTGGGGTAGAGAAATCAGAAATTTGAATTTCAGGTCTCAGGGTAGGGTTAAGTCTCTCAAGGTTGTCGTGGAAATAAGTGGGGTGGTCTCAACTGCTGAATTCAAACGGCTGGAGGACAAGTCATGGGTAGGTTGTATCTAATACCGGTTCTTTTGACCTTAAATCCTTCTTGAGCTTTGGGTACTTTGATTATGCCTATCAGAATGGGGGTGGGGGTGTCTTTGTGTTCCTGGCGCCGCTAACCGAAACGACTTTCCTTGGGGTGGGTCCTTCATTTTGTTGAGGTGGGGTGTAAATGATTCGAGGTAGGGTCATTTGAATTTCTCAGTACCGGTGGTATCACCTCTCTTGTATTTACCCGTGCTATATAGTTTCTTATCATGGGTGTAGTCAGGTTTCTTACATCTGCATGGTAGGGACCAAATTAGGAGATTTGGGGGTAGGGTCCAAGAAACACAAGTTCCATTAGGTAGGGTAGTTTGAATTTAGTGGGGTGGGGTAGGGAGAGGTTGGTTTGAACGGCGGGCGCGGGAGGGGCAGAGAAAGCGAGTCGAGCAGGTGACTATGGCACGCGTATCATGCTCGCTGCAGCGCTTCCTTCCTCTATCCTCCTCTCCTGTGATTATTTCTGCATGAACTTCTGTGTTTTTATTTTCTTCATCCCTGAAACAATTGCCCACAACAAAAGCTGAAATGTTCTGCAGTCTTGTTCACATCGTAATTTCTTGCAATGCGTGAAATCGTTCATATCCAAGGAGGACAGTGTGGTAACCAGATTGGTGCCAAGTTTTGGGAAGTCATCTCCGATGAGCATGGTGACATTCTTCTTTGAAAGTAATTTTCCCTCGTAACAAATCTTTAGGTGTCGATCCCACCGGTACTTATCATGGTGATTCTGATCTCCAGCTCGAACGCATCAACGTGTACTACAACGAGGCCACTGGTGGCCGTTATGTGCCAAGAGCGGTGCTCATGGATCTTGAGCCTGGAACTATGGACTCTGTTCGCGCTGGACCTTATGGACAGATCTTCCGCCCAGACAACTTTGTCTTTGGGCAGACCGGAGCCGGAAACAACTGGGCCAAGGGACACTACACTGAGGGAGCAGAGCTCATTGACTCCGTTCTTGACGTTGTGAGGAAGGAGGCAGAGTCCTGCGATTGCCTCCAGGGATTCCAAATCTCCCATTCGCTCGGTGGAGGAACTGGAGCTGGTATGGGAACTCTTTTGATCTCCAAGATTCGTGAGGAGTACCCGGATCGTATCATGCTTACTTTCTCCGTCGTTCCTTCCCCCAAGGTTTCGGATACTGTTGTTGAGCCGTACAACGCCACCTTGTCAGTCCATCAGCTTGTTGAGAATGCGGATGAGTGCTTCTGTATTGACAACGAGGCTTTGTACGATATCTGCTTCCGTACTCTCAAGTTGACCACACCCACCTTTGGAGACTTGAACCATTTGGTGTCAGCAGTTATGTCTGGAGTCACCTGCTCTCTCCGTTTCCCTGGTCAGCTCAACTCGGATCTCCGCAAGCTGGCTGTTAACATTGTTCCCTTCCCTCGTCTTCACTTCTTCATGGTTGGATTCGCTCCACTTACTAGCCGCGGCTCTCAGCAGTATCGTGCGTTGACGGTTCCCGAGCTCACTCAGCAAATGTTTGATGCCAAGAACATGATGTGCGCTGCCGATCCTCGCCATGGACGCTACCTCACTTGCGCTGCCATGTTCCGTGGACGTATGTCGACCAAGGAGGTTGATGAGCAGATGCTCAACGTGCAGAATAAGAACTCCTCCTACTTCGTCGAGTGGATCCCCAACAATGTCAAGGCCTCTGTTTGCGATATCCCCCCCAAGGGTTTGAAGATGGCTGTCAACTTCATTGGCAACTCTACTGCCATCCAGGAGATGTTCAAGCGTGTTTCCGAACAATTCACTGGAATGTTCCGTCGCAAGGCATTCTTGCATTGGTACACTGGTGAGGGTATGGATGAGATGGAGTTCACTGAGGCCGAGTCCAACATGAACGATCTTGTCTCGGAGTACCAGCAGTACCAGGATGCCACTGCTGAGGAAGAGGGAGAGTTCGAAGAGGAGGAGGAGGGCGAGGGATTCTAAACTAACCTGAAATAATCCTACACCGTACTCACTTGTTTATGATTTAAGACCAAATAAATTAATTTCAAAAACAACTTGTCTTCCACAACTTTCCATTGTGTTGGCAAGCGGTCTATACTTGAGCTTGACTAGCTGAGCTTCAGTGTCAATTTTGTTCAGGCATGTCAATTTTATTCACTCAACACTCCATCTAGATGTTGTCTTACACGAGGTGCATGTAGATAGTTTGAGATCAATCTTCATTTCATTTCTAGCGTGAAGGTGTTGTATTCAACATTGACATGATCATTAATGATGACAGAACCCGGTAGTAATGAAGAGATAAGACTCGAGACGCGCTTTGGTTCTACTTCCAAGTTCGGACGCTCTTTGGTTCTACAAGTAACTTAGCCTCGGCAGTGATCGCCGTGAGCCCGGCCGCTCCCTACTTATGGGGCGGACTGCCCGGCCCGGAGTCACTCCGAGGCTGCTGCGGCCCTGACCGTGACCGTGCCAGGCTCGGAGGAAGAGCCTGCAGTGACTGCAGGCAGCGAGGCTGCCGGGATACGAACTGAGGCGGGCGTTGTGAGGGCTCACTGATGACCTTCGGCCACTAATGCCGCCACTGTCGCTCCTGGTGATGGCGCTATGGGCGACGAGCTTCTGCCCCCTCAGCCGCGCTGCCGTCGTGCCCTTCACCTCTTCCTGCGCCCTCACTGACCAATGCTTGTCCAACATGCTGCTTTCCAGGAGAGACGCCTGTGCTGGCTTACAGTACCGGTCCATTTGCGAGTGCCGACCAGGGTTCTACATGGAGCAGGGGCATGCAAGCCTTGCTCCCTTAAGGCTTCTGCATGTGCTGAGGGATCCTATCTTGTTGGCTGTGGAGAAGGGGGGGGTCAGAGTGGCACGTGTGAGCTGTGCAGTCAGTGTCCCCCCGGCACCTTCTTCAGGGGCAACTGCAGTCAGAGCAATACTGGGTGCGTGGCATGTCCAGAGGGCTTCTTCCAGGACGAGCAGACAAGTAACAAGACGTGTCGACCCTGTCCCTCCAATTCTCGATCAGACTCTGCACGGACTGCCTGTCTCTGTGATGCTGGATACAACATGCTCAACGGCTTGTGCGTTGCTTGCACCCCTAACATGACAATAGACTGGAACAACTCGCAGTTCAATTGCGCTTGTCCGCCTGGATATGCTCGTGTGTCGCAGCATCGTTGTACTCGCTGCTCGCCTGGCTTCTTCGCGCTTCCAGACGCTAACAGTATGTGTCCAACTTGTCCCTTACTGAATGCCAGCGACGACAACGGATCATGCCTTGCCTGTCCCTCGGGGAAGTACTCCAATACCTCTGCTGCTTCCATCTGCTCCAATTGCTCCATCCCTTTCAGCGGCTCTCTCATGCCTGGGGCGACCTCCTCCTCCAACTGCTCCTGCCTGCCTGGCTACAGTGGAGGAGAAGATAGTTGTCTCGCATGTTCACCGGGCATGTACAAGGAAAACTACGGAAGCAGTCAGTGTGCTTACTGCCCGAGCGGAAAGTTTTCGGAGCACTATGCCAGCTCAGCGTGCAGTGAGTGCTCATCAGCCTCAGGTGTCGTCACGTTCGGGGCCTCGAGCTGTTTGAACTGTTCGTGTAGCACCTGCGCCATGGGGACAGCTGCCTGCGAGTGCTGTGCAGATGCGGGATTTTATGCGAGGAGGAAGAACTCCTCCATGACATGGCTCCTCGCTCAAGCTGAAGAATCTTGCGACGCTGCTTGCGGCAGGGCTGCAGCGACTTGCGTAGAATCCGAGCTTGTGCAGATGATGAACTTTACACAAGTCCTCGGAATCCGCTGCCAGACAACCTTCTCCTCCCCATATCCCATAGCCGCGGCTCCCTACTGCTACAACCCGCGCGCTAGTGTGCAAGGAGAAATGGTGTGTGACGAGTGCGTTTTAGCTCCGGGCTCCTCATGCGCTGCCGACAACGTGGGGGCGCGGAGAAACACATGGTATGCCAAGACCAAGAGGGTATGTCCCTGCCTCAGCTTCTCCTACTCCATCGTCCCCTGCCCTCCCGGCAAGATCTCCACAGGAGGTGCTATTTTGGACTGCTCCGAATGCGACGCTAGCGCGACTGCTGATGAATCCAGGCGCTTCTGCGTGTGCCGGGGAGGGTATGAATTCGTCTTCGGCTCATGCAAGTCCTGCAACCCTGGCAAGTACAAAATGAAGGGAGAGAACGATGTTTGCTCCAGCTGCTCTGCTGGCTCATTTGCTGGGGAGAGTGCGAGTACGACTTGCTCGCTATGTGGTCCGGGCGAGTTCAGCTCATGGAAGGGCAGCAGCAACTGTTCACTGTGCGAGCCGGGCACGTTCTCGAATCAGTCGGGGGCGATCTCATGCAGCCCCTGCGAGCCGGGGGCCTTCGCTTCCGCTTGGGGCTCTCTCTCCTGCTCCCTCTGTCCCAACGGAACTTTCTCGAGCAGCCCGGCCAGTGTGGAGTGTCAGGCATGTGGAGAGGGGCAGACGTCGATGCGAGGAAGCAGCGCCTGCGTTTGCGCCCCCGGCTTCTTCCTTCACTCAAATCTGAGTCGCTGCATTGCCTGCCCTCCTGGAACCTTCAAGAACGTCTCAGGCGATGCAGCCTGTGACGTCTGCCCCGTTCCCACTTGTTCCAATCTCACTGGCGCGACCGCATGCTCCTCCTGTGCTGCTCCCACAGCTGCGAACCAGACGCGTGGTTGCCTTCCAGGCTTCTCGCCAGACCCTCAGGATGAGATGCAGTGCCTGCCCTGCTCCCCGGGAACCTTCAGCAATGGCTCTAGCAGCTGCCTTGCCTGTCCTCCCGGCCTCTACTCTAACGCTTCTCAGTCCGCATGTCGTGAGTGCCCGCAAGGCACCTTCACCAACACATCAGGACAATCCACCTGCCTCTCCTGCCCTCCTGGTGCCTTCCTTCTCAACTCCATCTGCTATCCCTGCCCTGCAGGTCTCTTTCTCTCCAATTGGTCCTCGTGCTCTGCTTGCCTTCCAGGCTCCTTCTCTCTGCAAGGCTCCTCGTCTTGTCAGGCTTGCGGCCGAGGCTTCTTCTCCAACTTCTCGGGAGCTTCTGCGTGCTTTGACTGCGGCAGCGAAAGGCTTTCCAACGAGACGCGCGCGACCTCACTTGACGAGTGCAGGGCACCAGCACCAGCGCAGGAGGAGCAGACTGTGTGCAGTAGCGTATGGAATGTTTCGCTCCTCGGTGAGTCTTGCTCGAGCGTGTGCGAACGGGGAGGGAGAACATGCGACGTGGGGCTGCTGAGAGAGGCAGCTGGGGAGACGGAGCTGGTGTGGCGCTACCTACGCTACGAGTGCAACGACTGGCTGGGATTGGAGGTGCCTGAGCTCGACGTGGCACCGCTGTGCTGGAAGCCATGGGGAAGGAAGTGCGACTGTGTGGTGGTGCCGGAGACGAGAAGGGACAAGATAACATGCGAGTCGTCTGCTGAAGGGTTCCGCATCTGCCCTTGCAAGAGCTGCACTACAAGTATCAAGACCCTGCAATGATGAATATGAGAGGGACAGAGCGAAGGGAGCTGGGGATACAAAAGGCAAGAGAGGAAGTAAAGGAGGAGAATCAGTTGTAAACACAAATTGATATGCGAGGAAGGTGTAGTAGTAGTTTGAATTCATAAAACGTGAAACTCTGAAGTTCGTGTTGTCATCTCTATCAGTTTCACTTCCTCGTCCTTCCCGCTGATCCTCTACACGGCCATCAGTTGCGGAAGGGAGAACTCGGACAGTGACAAAGGGAGTAGGGAGGCGCTGGATCAGAGGAGCGAAGGAGGCCGGATGGTCAGATGGATGGGAAGGGGACATGGAGTGGCAAGGGAGGAGAGAGAGGAAAGATGAGGGAGGCAGAGAGAGTCGAACGTGCAAGGAGGGGAAGCCAACAGGAGAAGTTGAACTAGGAGCGAGAGGAAGGGGGGAAAAAAATAGGCGGGCAAACTGACCTGTTCTTTCAAGTCGAACCACTTACGACACTCGTTGAAGAACCACATGTCTGGGAAGACATCGTCAGCCTCCTCTTCTTCCTCCTCCTCCTTACCCTCCTTCTCCAGCTCACCATTTTCGTGACCTGGCCCTCTTCTTTCTTTCCACGTCATCATTATCCGCCCTCCCTTATGAGATGTCAGCCATCGTAGTGAGTTCAAGAGCTTCATGAGGACACTGCGCGGCTGCCCGTAGACAACATCTGCTGCCAGGATCAAGTCTATCCTCCCTTCCCGCACAATCTCTGCACAATCTTCTTCGACCCCCCACTCGCACTTTTTGACATGAAGGCATCTCTTCTCCTCTTCTCTCGTGCAGCTCAGCCCCTTGCAGGGTTCAATTCCGTTGAGAACCACATTGTGCTGCAGCAGAGGCAGCTGCTCGGCAACGTCGCAGACAATCACGCGCTTTGCTCCCGAGAGCCAACATAGGATGCCAAGCATTCCCGTGCCGCTGCCTATCTCGACAATGGTCAGCCCACTTGGATCCAGCCCTCCACTCCCTCCTCTCCCCAAGAGCTCGCACAGGTATATACTTCCATCCCAAACTACACTCCCAGTGCCGTCAAAAGTCTCTTGGAGATCCTCTTGGAGCCACCACGGGGAGTGACTGCGGGGCCCGCACGAGCGACCGACTTTCTGATCGATGCGAAGGCTGAGGCCATTGAAGGAGAAAGACATCAAGCCCTCGTTCCACCTCTGCTTGAGATGGCTGGGATGTACGCCAGCAGGAAAGCAGAACACGAGCAAGTGCAAGCCACCGATCGCGACCCTTGTCCTCTCTCTTCTATTCTTGTTTCCGCTCATCATGCTCAAGCATCTTGACCCTCTTCGTCTCTTCTCACTCTTCCTCCTCCTCTCTTGTCGCCTCCCCCCGGCCTGCAAGTGCCAGCGCTCGTCATGGTCGAAGATGACTGTCTTTACTCAAAGTTAAGTTAAAGATCAGTACGAGGACAATCAGGAGAGTCGAGGAGGCTTGACCCTCACACTGTCGCACAGGCCAAACGGCGAGAAGAGAAAAGACAGCGAGAACCAAACCTAATCCTGCCAACTGTTGTCCCCCAAACTTAACTGAGTTGCGATCACATCGGTCAGTTAGCAATGGATTTGGATGGCGGGTCGGGATGAGGGAAGGAAGTTCAGGAGAAGCAGAGAAGAGGGAAAGGGTCAGAGAGGAGAGCAAGAAGACGAGATAAGGAGAGGATGAGGATGAGGATGAGGATGAGGATGAGGATGAGGATGAGGATGAGGATGAGGATGAGGATGAGGATGAGAGAAATGGGTAGGGATGATGGGAAGAACAGGGGGAGAGGAGGGGAGGAGGAGGGGAGGAGGATGAGGAGGAGGGCGAGGGGAGGGCGAGAGGAGGGCGAGAGCCGGGAGGAGAGGAGAGGATGGGGAGAGGATGAGGAGGGGAAGAATGCATACCAAGGGGAGGAGGAGAAACCATGCAAGGAGCAGCCATGGAGGCGATACAAACAGTTATAACTGGTGAAGCGCTGTAACTGATGATGGACTTATTTGACTGTATGCTATATCGCGTCTTTTCATATTTAAAAAATATAAATAAACAAAAATCATTGCGATTTTATGTCCTTTCGAAGAGGTCGGAGTCAGACTCCGACGACAAAATTCTATCTCCAGATAAAATTCGTTACCAATTCCTCGTGACTTTGCAGGGATATTGTCCAAATCATGCTATTTCGCAAAGGAGATTTCCAGAGATTTCTGCAGGGAAGGGGTTCAAGGGGGCCGATCTGACGGTAGGGTGGTGCTTAAAGCGACCACCCATCCAGCACTCCCCACCCCCCCTTTTCATAACTTAGATTCTAAATATTAGGGGTCCTCTAGCTCTATTAAAACCCTGCATGTACCCCTACCCCCCGTTCGTCAGTACACCACCATACCCCTGGTCGAATCCACCCCTTCCCCTTCGTTCGCGTTTCTCAATGCACTGGATCAGCAAAAGTCGTTCCAGCTGCTTCGATTGAGCTCACAGTCTACCAGCTCTGCTCCTGCTCCTGCTCCTGCTCCTGCTCTCCTCCTCATAATCTTTCATGTGCACGTCGGTGCAGCCGAGTTGGGCGTGATGTCTGTAAATCTTGACGTGTACGTTCCTCTTGCCGCTGCTCATTCGGGGCTGGAGCCCATGCTCAGTTCTAACATTCAAAATCTTCACGCGCTTGAGGAGAATCAGCCCTTGCCGAACCTGCCTCGTCCTTCTTCGGTCTATTTTCTCATCCAGGAATGCACCGGGCTCCCCAAGTCCAAGGACTTTCTCTTGGATACCTACGTTCGTTTCTCCAGCGGAACCTATGAGGTGAGAGGTGCCCATTGCTCATCTGGTGATTGATGACGCTGCTTCACCAGGCGAGATCTGCTGTGCAAGAACACTCTTCCGCACCGTTCTGGAATGAAATATGCCAACTTAACGTGCCCTGCCTGCCTGCAGAAGTCAAGATACAGGTGATTGAGCCTTGTTGTCGAGTCACCTTGACGATCTCGCAGGTTATCGTGAAGCAGTTGCGACAGGACGTGACCATGTTAGAGGCAAGTATTCCCTTGACGCAGGAGCTCGTGAGCTGCTTCATGGACGAGAAGCTAGAGCTGCAGCTCTCGTCGGCCTTGCCCAACTCCCTCCGCCTCCCCCTCGACGCCGAGCAAGCTCGCTGCAAACTCAGACTAAGCTGGAGCTACGACGTTGATGATGTGAACATCATCAAGAAGGGGTTGTGGCCCCTCACCTCCGAGAAGAAGTGCTTATAGCACTTGTGTCGCTTCTTCCCGCCTTCTCGCAGAAGATGTTTCATATAGAAATTTGTATTCTTACGCGGAACTTGTCAATCTTGCTCTTGTAAATTATTCTCTCTCAAGATGTGATTGTATGTAGCGGTGGAACTAGTCTGTTAGAACAAGACCCCTTCATAAAACTATTGAACAGAAAAATGACTCCACCCATGTCACTCACGACTAGGGAAGCCAAAGGTGAAACGCTTGCTCGTCTCTTCTTACGCCAACCTCGTCGTGTAGGCTGTCTTCAACGTCAGCAAACATGTACTCCTGCTCACCCCGCATCCCTTGCTGCTTCTTCGAACAACCTTGTCCCCCTCCTCCCCCCCCCCGAGTTCGCTCTTGCTTCTCCTCCGCCCTTTCCCTTCCCCTTTCTTAGCCTCGTCCCTACCTGCCCATCCTCGTTGCTTGTATTGCAGAGCAGCAGCTGCTGGATCAGAGGCCTGCGGATGTTTAGGAGACGGAGAGAAACGGGAGGGTCACCTTGTAGATGCCTCGCCCGACTATGATGACGTCGCTGGTCCTCTCACTGGAGCAAGAAGCAAGGAGAGTGAGAAGGCAGAAGCTGAAAGTACAAGCGGAGGAGAGAAGGGATGAGAAATGCGAGATTGAATCTGAACAATGCGAGGCAGAGTAGGCCATCAGAGCGAGCAGAGGTGATGTCAAGAGACAAAGGTTGATGGTGGAGGGAGTAGGAGAGAGAAGAACAAAATGTCCTACCCGATGACTACCTCTGGTGTGAGGTAGCGCTGGCCGAGCGAGTCTGTTCCCTCCTCCAATTGGACGCCTAAAAAAGAAAATAAGGAAAAGGAGCCAGCTAGGAGGTGTGCAGGTGAGCGGGATCATGAAACTTGAGGTAGAAAAGTAGACGGGAAAGCAGATTACGAGTAACGGCGTGATGATGACGATGACGACGATGAAGATGATGGTGAAGAAGAAGATGATGGTGGTGGTGATGGTGATGATGATGGTGAGATGGTGATGATGATTGGATTGGGGTATCCACCGGGTGTCATGTGGATCATTGACGGGTCCTCGCTGAGCCGGCTGGTGCAAATGAAACCAATACACTATAGAGCGGCGCTGGTAAGTTCCTCCGCTCCCTCCTCTCCTCAGTTCAGCTCACAAAGTCTCGTCGCGCGACGGCCATCTCTACAGTCTTCTTGGTGTACTCGCCATCCGCTAGTGTCCCAGAGGAGGACATCTGACCCAGCAATAGCAGACCCCGTCCCTTGGGCTTGCCGACCTGCACTGAATTCAGTTCGCGGGAGATGGATAGGAGGAGAATGACAGAAAGGAGTTGGCGGGGAGATGGGAGGAGAGGAAGTGACCTGAGCGAGGCCGTCTATGATTCCTGGTCCAGGTACGGTATGAGCGTTTGTGATGTGCGACCAGTCGGCAATGCGGTAGACGCCCCTGCCTTTCAGTCATGCCGGCACCAAGACGAGGGTCCACCTTACCCCCCATACTGCATTGCCACGGTGTTGCCAATGTCAGCGAACTTTCTATCCTCGAAGATGAGGAACCTGCGACAAACTGAGAAGGCGGAATGAGGCAGCACGTTTGGATGGGGAGCAAAAAGCGGGCGAGGAAACATCAGGTTAGGGTAGGACGTGAGGGAGAAGCAGGCGGGAGAGACCTATGCTTGTCTGCAATCTTCTGAAGCTCGAGGGTGAAAGCGAGAGAGAAGTCAGCGAGAACGTCCACGTGCGTCTTGAAGAGGCAGATGTGCGGGCCAACCGCCTCTGCCAGCTGCAGCACCTGCATAGAACTGGTTGACAGCGGCTGATGGGAGTCTAGAGTAGGTAAGAGGGGTCCAGAGGAGTCTAGAGGACGTAAGAGGGGTCCAGAGGAGTCTAGAGGAGGTAAAGGAGGTTACCTCAGCACAGGTGTTGACATCAGCTGCCACTGACAAGTTCGTTTGCTTGCTCTGAAGCCAGTTTCACCTCTACCACCTCCATGCTCCGCCCTCAAGCCCAAACCCTCCAGCTCTGATCTAGCCAATTCCTCACCTCCATCAGCGTCAGCAGCTCCTTTGCCATGTTGCTGTCGGCCATTCCTGCGCGTTCGCCGTAGCTCATCTTCGCGACTGACTTCACGGGAGCAGCAGGAGCAGGGGCACTGCTTTCAAAGCGGTTGGCGGCGACGAACTCTCGGACTCTGAGGGAGAAGGAGAGGAAGGTGAGTGACGAGCGTGGGGCAAATGATTCTAACTTGCTCACTGTCGCCTCGTCAAGGAGGTTCTTCTCTTGCAGCACCGCAATGAAGGTGCTCACTGTCAGCACCTGGTCCATGTCAGACTCTCCTTCTCTCCTCTGCCGCAAGCAGACCGAGCGAAGGGTCACGCCCTCCCCTTTGATCCTGTCGGGTCCTCCCTGCTCTCTATCCTGCCATAGCGATAAGCAGTGTACCATCCCAGCCTTGGCGGCACCAGCAGGACGACTGCGTCTATCACGTCCAGGCCTTCCTCTCGCAGCGATCGTGCCTGCAGGAGAGCTTCAGCTTCTCCCAAGCTTCTTCTCCTCACCGTCTCCATGACGCTCGCGCCGCTCGTCACCACATCCTCCACCACGAGACACTTGCAGCCGCGCGAGAAGACTCCCTGCTCTTGCTCAGCTCCTCCTCTTCCTACCACGCACTTCACCCACCTCAACCATCTTCTTGGTACCATAGTCCTTCGCCTCCTTCCTCCTCACCACCATTGGCTTCCCGTTCATGATGGACATTGCGGTAGCGAAAGGAAGGGCGGTGTAAGGTACACCGCAGAGTACCTGAGAGCAGGAGAGTGAGACGAGCAAAAGCAAACTCGCCCACGTCACATCGTGCTGTGCATCTTTGCTTATCTCCCAGAGCTGCTTCGCGATCTGCTGGAGGAGAGCTGGGTAGGAGACGGTGACTCTCAGGTCGAAGTAAACAGGCGACATGATGCCGCTCTTGAGTTTGAACTCGCCGAACTGACTTGAGGTGTCAACGAAGAAGACGAAGCGACAGCAGATCCAACCTTGACTGCTCCAACTTCATACAGCCCGACGACCAGGTTCTTGATTTCTTCTGTTGCAGCTGCCATCTAAAACAAGAAATCAACTCGCACACCTCCAATTCTTCCTTTCTTGTCAACAAGTTTATCTTGCAAGCATGCATTACCACGACCCGAGATTTGCATATTCACATTACACCGACCTCTTTCACCACCCTTTTCTGACACAGAGATGAGGGCAAGCTTCATGTAAGCTTCATGGCGCAATCAGATACTCCTCCTTTCGTTTCTCTTCGATTTCTCACACGTGCCTTTTCATTCTCATGATCTTCTTACTCATGAGACCATGTCGAATCATACCGAATCTCTTTGGAAATGCATGAAATTGGCTTTCTGCTGCTTCGATATTTGATTTTATCAGCATTCTACCATCGCCTGTTCACACTAGCTACAACTTCTTCCAATTTTCTCGTGTTTTGCTGTCCATTTACATATGTTCTCCTGCTCATTGCTTCTTTCATTGCTGGCCTTCACTCGACGACTCTATGTACATCTCCTCTTCCTCTCTTCTCCTCCATTCTTCCTCTTCTCTCTCCTCTTCTCTCCCTTTCCGCCCGTGCTCATCAATCCGGCGGCCAATGGGATTGGCGATTAATTTTTGTAAAGGGTATCGTGTTCGGTCATTTTAAATTCAGTTCACACAAATATTTGGTCAATATTTGATATTTAGAAGAAATATTTACAAAATTTCACAATTTTGAAGCACTCACAGGAATTTTCTTTCTCGCACATGAAGTCAGTAAAGCCTTCGCACATGACCCCCCACCCTACCCCCCGAGATATCGCCAAACCTTCGCCAGTCAGTACCCCTACCGTTTCAACGATCCTCAAAATATCTACCACCCCTTCAAACATGCTAAATAAGTACCCATCTTTTATCACCCCACCACCTTGATTTTTAGTTTAAGTTGACCTAGGATACAGGTGAAATGTTTCATAATGCATTATCATTTTTGAAATGATAAGAGACTATATTTCAACCCTGATGCATCCAACAGTTTTGTTTTGAGTTTTCGAAAATTTAGTCTTTGAGTTAAAATATGATGGAGATTTTCAAGAGAATTTGAAAAAATATTCGAGCATATTCCTCGGGTGCTCTGTCAAAAATCATGCACACAATCGAGCGGCAGGGGCGGCGAGGGAGGGGGATGGGGAGGGGAGGGGGTGAGAAGAGATGGAAGGAGATATGGTGGTCAAAGCGGGGAAGGCAAGTGAGGGAAGGAAGCGAAGAAGATGGGAGGAGAGAGCAATGAAGGAAAGATAGAGAGCAGAGAACGAAAATAAGGATCAACACATATGTCGATAACCAGAACTATTGGTATCCAATGTAGGGGCGAGTAAACCAACGAGTGAGAGTGGGAAGAATCAAAATTTTGAAAGATAATCAGGAATTAAAATTCTAGAAGAGACGAGACAAAGGGACATGGAGGAAGCACAGGACCAAACTAACACTTCACTATCAGAATGATCGAGGTGGTCTGCAACGATCGTCTTGGAAAGAAGATCAGAGTCAAGTGCAACCCCGACGACACAATTGGAGACCTCAAGAAGCTCATCGCTGCTCAGACAGGCACCCGCGCAGAGAAGATCAGGCTGCAGAAATGGTACAACATCTTCAAAGATCACATCACTCTGGAAGATTACGAGATTAAGGATGGGATGGGCCTTGAGCTGTACTACAACTGAGAGACGAGAAACTGCCTTTCTTTCCCTCTCTCTCTCCCTCTTTCTTGCAAACTTATATGAATCTTGATACTTCTTCGAGACAGCTGGTTGCTGTGCAGCTGGAGATTGCACAGGTTTCCTTTCGAGAAACGATTCTGTGATCTCTCGCTGCCATGCGGTCAGCAATGGCCGCGGCTACCATAGCTGTAGTCACCATAGTGCAGATGGTAATCTGGAATGCAATCTCTAAGCATAAAGCTGAAAGCAACGAACCCTCCCAAGACTCGAGTGAATCTGAATCCTCTTCCAACTTCAAAAGTCTGCCAAGATCGACAAGATCTGTCTTTCATCGAAGTGATGACGATCATCTTCATTTCATCCTGTCAAACAAAACTTCATATGCTCTCCATAGCTTCCATCAACTCAACGCGTCAATGGAAACTGCTGAAAGATCCTCTCTTCAAAACGTGACTGAAGGTGAAATTTCGCTCTAGGTTCTTTTGTCCTTTTCTGTTTCTTCTTTCCCATTGCTCTCTCGGTTCTTGTTGTAATGCTAATTTCTCACAGCATTTCGAAGTTTGCAAGGAAATTCGGAGAGCGCTGCTGTTCACAGCAAGAATTCCAGCCATGTCGACTCACCAGATGTTTCTGCCTCCTTGAGCTCAGCTCGTCGGCGCAGGGTCTTCGAGCCTGGCAAGAGGTTTTATCAAGGTGAGGAGCAAGGAGCGGAAGGTGATGGCAGCAAGGTGATCTCAGAGTTGAGAACTGAAACAGGGAGTTCGGCTCAAAACTACAACGAAAAAACAAATGGTTGGTCACGGCCCGCGGCAGACAAGCTGAAGGAGGTGCAGACTCAAGCAGTCCAAGAGGACAGGATGGATGAGTTCACGGCGGGCCGTGAGATCTCGCAATCGCGCAATGTCTCTCAGGATCGACCCCCGAGCACACAGCAGGAGTTGCTTGCAGAGAGTTTGAGCCGGGTGAACCCTATTGCACCTTCCTTCACTGATGCCGCTCCTCGACTTGGAGGAGGTTCACACCACCCAGACAAGGGTAAAGGAGGAAGCTGGCTGACCAGCACCAGCAACGTGGAGCTTCTGTGCTCCAACCTACCGCATAACTCGTCGGATGCTGCTCGCTTGAAGCGGCGAAGGGACCTGCGATGCTCCTGTTTCCTCTCCCATACTCCCGCCGACTTTATCGCCTGCCAACTTTCGAGCCTGCAGCCTGTCGACCAAAGTCTTGCTGAGTTTGTAAGGAGCATGAAGTGGGGGAAGCAGTCGGGGGAGAGTGCCTACTTCCACACCAAGAGGATCCTTTCCTTCGGCACAAGAGTTCCAGGAGATGAGGGATGGAATCGAACGATCGGCTACATCTCGGGCTTCTTCAAGACTTTGGGATGGTTTGTGGAGGAAGACAGGTGCAGCAGCTCTCTAGTGAGTCTCATCGCTTCTCATCCCTCGCAGGTTTCTCGCCCACACACCTGTGGGTGTGAGGCCCATGTGCAACATTGTGGCGTCGCTGAACCCCAAAGGCGGCGTCTGCCTCGTCGACCTCGCTGCTCATCTTGACTCCAAACTTTTCGCTGACTTCCGGTGAGCATTGACAGTAGCAGCTGCTCGAGGGCATAAGGACGTGGATCATGATTACGATGCTTTGACGCCATGAGACTGACAAGGGAGGGGAGGATTCGGGAATAAGATGTGATGTTTGATTATGTTCGCCGATTGCGAGGGATGAGATGAACGTCTCGCTCGGGTATCAGCTGAAGTTGTTCTGATGATTCTTCTAGTTTTCTCGGGGCTTCGGACTCAGTGGCGTCCATGGGGATCATGCTTGAGGTGAAGCGACCGAACGATTTTCTTCCCATCTTATTGTTGTCAGGTCGCTGAGAGCATAAGCTTACAACTGCAGCGTAGAATGTTAGCAGAGGACGTGAACTTGGAGCCGCTGCCGTGCTTGCGAATGATCTTTTTCGATGGCGAGGAATCCTTCAAGCGATGGACCCCAACCGACTCGCTTTATGGTGAGCAACGCCAGCGATTGTCAAGGGAAAGAGGAAGAGCGAGATGGGGATGCAGGAAGGGAGGGTGGGCATGCAAGGTCAGGAAAGGACGGCATGCACAGAGAGGAGAGCATGAGAAGTGGGGAGTGACTTTCCACTCGCAATAGGTTCTCGGCACCTCGCAAGCTCGTGGGAGCGACAGCTTGACCCGTAAGGCTTGACAAGGGCGAGGTCCTTTCTTACCCCCTCCCTGCAGCTTCAGGCCCGGCAAACCTAGGCTAGATGGGATGCGCCTCCTCGTAAGTTCTCATCCTCCCTCGATCACCTACCAATGCTGTTGGCTACTCCTCTATCAGGCTTGCTCTCCTTGGCGACTGATATGTGGTCAGGTCCTGCTGGACCTCATTGGAGGATCGCGAAGCACGTTTGTCTCACATCACAAGTCGACGAGTCTTGTGTTTCAGCGGCTGCAACTTGTGGAGCAGAGGTAATGCGAGAGGGTTTGGAGAAGACGAGGAGGAAAGGATAGGGGATGACGATTGAAACAGCTGGTGGAAGAGGAAGGGACCCGGGGGGGGGGGGGGGGGCTGATGGGCATGGGACGGGGGAGTAGTAACTTGCCTGTAGTTTACGACGGGAGAGCTTGCTGCGAGCGAGAGGTGGCTCGCCAACCAGCTCCTTCTTCGCGAGCAGCGGGAGCAGGGAGACCATCCAAGACGATCACATTCCCTTCCTCAAGCGAAAGGTAAGCTGCTGCCTTGCACGTTAAGCTCGCTGACTCCAACGCCTCAGGTCCCTGTCCTTCATCTGATACCCTCGCCCTTCCCGCCCTTTTGGCACACGACGAGGTTCCTCGCTTCGGTTTCCATTGAGTGGCTGAAACCCCGCAGGGACACCCTCGAAGCCATCGATCGCGACGCTGTTGCTGACTTCGCAATGATCCTCAAGGTCTCGACATGCTGTTTGCAAATGTCCTCCATATATTGTTCTCCTCCTCAAGCTCGGAGGCGCTGCTAACCTATCCTCATTTGACACCCCTTGCACACAGACATTTCTTTTCGACTTGTATGGGCTTATCGTCCGGAAGCGCTCAGTCAGTTCGCTCCCTCCCCTTCAACCACGTCCTCCTCCTCGACTCGGAAGCTTCTCAAGATAGGATGTGAGCCATCAAACCTAGTCGGACACTGTGAGGCCATACAGACTTTTACCGTACTAGTTAAATTCCTGTGGACTCAGAAAGCCTATGGCCAACGGGTGGCGTCTTGAGGCGGGCCTGAAGTAATGCTTGTGACTGAGGCGGGCCGTGCAAATGGGAGTCCCGACTCTTCGCCTGTTGCTATACCCCCACCCCCTCTTTACCGTTCAAAGTACCCCCTTTCCTTGCTCTGCCATTCCTGTGTCACTTTCGTTCACATCCTGCCGTCTTCTTAGTGCTTCATCCCCAACTCCTTCCTCCTAACTCCTTGCCTCCCAACCTTTGCCTCCTAACTCCTTCCTCCTTGCCTCCTTCCTCCTTGCATCCTTCTTCCTTGCCTCCTTGCCTCCTTGCCTGCTTGCTCCCAACTCCTTGCCTCCTTTCCTGCTTGCTCCCAACTCCTTGCCTCCTGCTTCTTTGCTCACTGCCACCTGACTGTATCTGCTAATACCTCCTCACTTCACTCGGTCCCCTTTTATCCCGCCTTCTCTTCTCCAAATTCCTCCTTATCAATAGTTTCTTGTGTCTGACCCCACTCCGCACCTTCTCCTTTCTCCCTAGTGCTCTATCCTGCTTCCGTCATCCAGAGTCGTGAATATCGTCCTCTTCCTTCACAGAGTCTCTCATTTCTTCCTGTCTTGATTTTCGTCTGTGTTTCGTTGACTCAACGAATTGCTTCTTGATTTATTCGTTTATGTCATCTATTTTGCTGAGCCCAATCCTTCGCATGTGTGGGTTGGGCTCTCCGTTGATGCCTTGATATCAAGTCGTGCCCTGCTTGATCGAACAGCCCGTTGTCTGAGCTCCTTGCCTTCGTTTATTCGGAAATTCTGATCTGTTTTTGTTAGATGTACTTCTCGTTGATTCCGGTCTCGGAACTCTCTAGCAGGAGCTTGTATGCTCAGGTGATACTCTTTCACCTTGATTTTGTCGCTCATGCTTCTCGTTCCCTAGCCTCCAGGACTCCAACAGCTCGTGCTCGACAATCGTCTGGGTAGATCAAAAATTTGAATTCTCCATTTCTCACAGGGGTTCAGGCGGACCTCTCAACATCGGATATCCTTGTGGAGCTATCTGGTGCGAATCCGTTCCTGACAACAGTGAGTGCTCCTCCCTTCTTCACTCCTCGCCTCCCCAGAAAGCATAAAACTTTTACTCTAGCTGATGTCATTGCAGAGGTCGGACACACCAACGGTACGGGACCTGTGTGGGTTCCCTGAGCTGGTGCAACGGGGAGAAACAAGGGAGGCAACTGATGCATCTAGACATGAGTAATGCATTTCTTTAGCACTACACGTCTCTTGTATTCCCTGTCCTTCCTGTCTTGCTGTTCATCTCTGGGATATCTCCTTCCTGCCTGCTGATGATCCTTGCAAGTAATGTAGAAGTCTGATTTTCATCCATTGAATGAGAATATCTAGGGTAATATCTCTATGCTCCAGAGATGTAGGTGAGGAAGAGGCGTAGAAGCAAAGGATATGAGAGGATTTTGAGCTCATGCAATAACTCGCTGTCCTTGGTAGTTCCTTGAGATTGATCACACAAACCTTGAGTCTTGCAACCTTGACATCTGCATATATGATAGGTTGATATCTACCAACACAGAATGAGAACAAATAGTCTAGAGCCTCCCAAGGCGATTTGAATTACATTTTTATTTCTCTATGTGCATTTCAGAAATAATAATGTGTCACAACTTATGAATAGGAGGAGGATGATGATACAGTCCAAGTTTACAACTTAGAATACATTTCGAAGGTGTTTCAGTTGAATAAGAAAACAAAAAAAAGTTTCGTGCCGCTCTCTGAGTGAAAAAAATTATTGACAGGTTGATAATCGTCTGAGAGAGCACATTTTCTTTCAAGCAGAAGCCTTGTTCTTCACCATCTGGGGAATGAGCTGGTTTGTCTCATTCATTCCTAACACTGAACGAAATGAAAAGCTGAGGTCGTTGGTCTGGAAATAGTCTGATTGCTTCCATTGATCCTCAACCTCGTGCTGAGAATCTGAGGTCATTCCAGTGTTGCTCGATCGCACACACGAATGATGATAGTATACACAGAGAGGCATGTCTGAATAGATTGATCAATAACAAGACAGCCAAGACCAAATCAAAGCAGAAGACGGAAGATGAATCGAGGATGTAGCGTAATAAGCGTGTTGTTTCGCTTGAGGCCGCCCAATGGCTTTTTCACGGCTGCTGATGGGTTGCAATGCTGACAAATGATGCACCACTGGCCAAAAACCGATCTGAGTGATGGACTAGACGGGTAGGAATGGAGGAGGCGGCGCAGGAGGGGGGATACTGAGATCAAGGTCACGAATGATCTGCGGTGAAGCGCACGAGAGACAGCGGAGGGAGGAGAGACAGATGGGGGAGGAGTGAGCCAAACTTGGGGAGGAGGCACAACTGGGGGGAGATGAAGTACCCCTGTACGGAAAGGGGTCCCTTCAATTAGGGTGGTGGGTAGCATTGGAACCGGGGTAGGAAGATTTTGATAGGGGGTGGGGGTGCAGATATTGTAGGTAAGGTTTTAAATCTGTGGAAATAGGTGGGTGGGGTGACTTTTTTTTTGGGTTGAGGTATGTCCGAATGGATATCCGAATGAAAGGGGTGTTTTCTGTAGCTTAGGGAAGAGAAGCAAGAGTACGAGTTTGAGTATAGACCCTCAGATAGAAAAATCTCAGGGTTGACCCCCCCCCCAACACATATCTTCCAACCCCCACCTCTGAATTGTCCAATAGGTGTGCCTTTGATGGTCATCTGGTAGTGGGGTGGCCTTGACAAGGAAACATGTTCAGAGGGTGGGTACTTTCATATATAGATCGGAAGGGACAACAATTTGATTTCCTTGAGGGTTATGGGGTTGTAGGGGTCGGATATCTGATGGATTTATAGAGTTCTACACGTCAATTGGGGGGTGGGTACTCAGTTATATGTTGGATTTAAGGCACATTCCTGGCGAAAAGTTGTGATCTCGCATCCGCTTCAGATGACCCTACCACCATAGAAATTCCAGGATGTGTGAAAAGTTTTAATTGTATTCTGTTTATTTCAAATAAAACAATATAATATTGTTGAGGGTTAAAAAAAGATGAAAGGGTGGGTAGTTGTTCAGATTCGATCTGACGACGAGTGGGGTAGGATTGGGTCGGGCTGAAGTAGTGGGAGGGGTGGGGTGTGTAACCGGTGGTGAGAGGAGGACTGTTGTGAGAGGGGTTGGGTTGAGAGGCAACGGGTTGAGAAAGGGCAAGATGGGGTGGTAAAGTTTCCTGCAAGACTTGGTAGGGGTGGTTCTCCCTGCAAACTTGGGGAATAAAAGATGAGTTGGGGAATTCGCGGGATTGCGTGATGATTACAATTCATAGTTGGCGGCAGCAATTGAGATCGATTTTCCTCAAATTAAACCGTTTGTGTTGAACTTTTAGGAAATCAACATGAAAAATATACAATTAGACCAATATTTCGATAACCCCCCACATGGTTTCCGTCTGTATTAGGTACGGGTAGACCACATTAGTTTTCGAGATGTAAGCCAACTTGCATTGGGGCTATGCAACTGGTCAAAAAACTAGGTCAAATCAAACGGTGTAAAGGATGACAAGCAACCCCTCTACCCCTTTTTAGTACTTTGAATCAGTCATACTAAAACCTTACTTACTTGAAATTGACTGAAAGGTGGTATATGTTTATGGAAGGGTGCTGTGGTCAAACAGCCGGGGTGGCCCCCACTCTACATTTGTTGTAGAGGCAAAAACAGTTTTAAGATACAAGAACATTCTTTTAAGTTTACATCTGAGTCTCCCGGGCCTTCCGGGCCGCGGGACCGGCCACCGGGCCGCCCTATGATGCCCGGCGGCCCGGCATACGCGGCCCGAGCCTACGGCGTGACGGGTCGGCCAGGCGTCCGACCGGTCACCCAGCCGCTCCGAGCCGCTGCCACCGTGCCAGTGACGCGCTGAGTCACGGTTGCGGCTTACATGCCGGGCAGTGCCACCGGCACGGGCCAGTGAGCCAGAATTGACAGTGAGGAGCACACTGACGAGAGATCACTGAGTCAAGATAGACTGTATGCTAGGATGTCCGACAACGGTTAACTCGGCGTTACAGGCTATCTGACTGGCACGCCGCGGCTGGCATGTGATCCATCGTCCCTCCGACTCCGGGCCGAGTTTCTGTACGGTACGGTACATCGGACGTCTCAGTAAGAAAGTCACAGAGTAACACAAACCGACAAGTTCAAGAGAATGTCAGCAGAGTGCCAAGTCAAGATACGATGAGACCGTCTGCGTCAAGTTCACAGTTAAAGATCATTTTCATGCAGGGCTGTTAGATGTCCGCAGTGAGTGACAGACTCTGATAACCCGGGGAGACTCTCAGATGCCTGACGAGCGGGTGCAATGAAGAGAGACACTAGGAGATAAGGTAGTAAAGAGAGAGAGAAGCGTGCCCGCCGGCATTTGAAAAAGGCCCGGGCCGCCGGCGGCGGCCCGCCGCCGCCGCGGCTCGGTGGAGCCTGTCACCGGGAGCCTGTCACCGATACAGGCTGCCATGATTGAACTACTAGCTAGTAGGCCCGCCTACGGTAGCACCTCAGAACGGCCTGTCCTTGTCTTGACTGAGCTGCGGCGCTGCCATGTCGCTCGCCAGGCCTCGGAGGAGAGCCGTGCGGTCAGCCTGAGCCATTCGCTTTGCTGCGAACCCGGTGAGTGACCACGCGGCTGCTCTCAGGCATTCACGCGATTACCGTTGGCGCAATACACCTTGGCTCCGGACGTGAGCTGCTCCGCGAGCTCAACCTACCAAGCGCTCAACGAGCAGAACTTGACCGGCATGAGGCTGGAGAGAACTGAGAGGCTGAGGACAGGGAGGTGTCACCTGCTCCGTTCGCAGCAAGTTGATCATGGGCATGGGAGATCGGCGCGAGAAATCATTCTGATGAAGGTTGTCCTCGAAATTCATGACATCTTCAATCTGTTGCCGCCGCCACGTAAGGCTCGCAAGCAACGCGCCTAGAGCTGTCACCTCATAAAAGTTGAGCAACATAGATCGCAGCATGTTCTCCGGGGGCAGATGACCATGTCTGCGGCAAGATAGTAAGATCTATCATAACGCCAAATCGACATGTTCGATCATAACGCCAATAGCCACTTCTTTGCTCTCACGTTGGGTCGTTGACAGGGAACACTGCTTCTCTCTCGTAGAAGGGATGGAAGAAGACAAGTGAAATATTTTTCTCCGCCTAACCAACAGTGAGCGAATGAGAGGGAAGGGAGGTGTAGAGAGGAAAGCCGAGGCCAGGGTGAAGGGTTGGGGGACCAAGGGAGGATGAAGAGAAGGGAAGGGTAAGGTGAGACCTTCAAGCTAAGGAGTGCATTCGAGATTACTCGCGAAGCTGCCGCATATCTCTGTCATGAGCGATGTCAGCTGAAGCTGCATAGGAGGGGCAGCAACTCACAGGAAAGTCGTCTTGAGAGAAACAAGGAGTGAGGAGCAGGACTGTACTGAGCTCTGTCGGGTCTTTGGACTGGAAGAGTATCAGCAAGGAACCTCGCAGCGGGTTTCTTGTACCAGCATATCGGAGATGGTGTTCCACAGCGCAGACAAGACATGTACCACGTGATCGGCATGACAGACAGGATAACCGATGGGACCTGGAGCGATGCCGACCTGAGGCCCGACAACAGTCAGCAACGACAAGGAGCTAAGCACTACCTTGGATAAGCCCGTGGCCGCTACGCTGACGGACTGCGTGAAAGGGCAGACCCTCATGCCGATGATGACTCGCTCTACCCATCTCTGACAGCGAAGCACTGCCAACGATGAGGCCGCCAGCTCGAGCAGCGAGGCGTCAGAAGAAACCCTGGGAGACTTGCAGTCGATGACTAGGAGCCACGTCTCTCCTTTCTTCAGCGCCTGGACCTTCCAATCAACACGATCGCGGGTCGACAAACCCTCCAGCTTCCCTTCCGTCAACCTGTTCATGCGATGGTCAGGCCGAAGCACCCTAGACGAAGCCCTACAGCATCATCGTCTCCGCGACCTTTCTGAGGATCTCTCCTTCTGCCTCCGGAAACGACAGCACCGACACGCCTTCCCCACGCTCAAGCCGTCGAGATGCCTCATTCCAGCAAGCTGCCGCTATGGCCACCACCTCGTGGTGATGGTATACCTTGACTTCTTCCGGCTGCTGCTCGAGCTGACTTCGGACCCAAGCGACGTGAGCGTCTGTTGCATCTCCTCTCCCGCTTGAACTTCGGAGCACAAAGCTTCGGCGTGATCCTGCTAGTTGTGCTAGTCGTGTTCCTTCCTTGAGCTGAACAGGACTGATCGACCGGAAACGAGGCATCAAGAGGAGGAGGACAAGGCAGGGGCTATCACCTCGCTGGTCGTGTGTTGGGCAGTAAGGTACCAGGAGCAAAGCCAGAGCAGTTTTCAAACGTTTTCATCAGGAAAATCAAGACCACGGAAAGAAAATGCCCTCTCTTCGAGTGAATAGTCATGTTTGCCTTGGATCTTGAGGGTAAATAATTGAGGGAGGTCTAGTAGAGGAGGGAGGAGGAAGGTCTAGTAGAAGAGGAGGGAAGAGGGAGGTCTAGTAGAGGAGGGAGAACGGAGGTCTCGCAGAGGAGGGAGGAGGGAGGCGGAGGAGGAGGAGGAGGAGGCGGAGGAGGAGGGTCAGAGGATCGGAGTGTCTTGGTGTAACCTGCTCTTTCTGGTGGTCAGCATCTTTTGCGAGATCTTCAGCGTGTATCTCCTTCCACGAGTTTCCCTTGACTACCCCACCCCATGTCAGCCCCACATTCTTGCACCCTCCACCATTTTAGTCCCCACCCCTTATAACTGCTCATTATGATACACCCCGATTCAGTCGCTGAAATTAACCCCTACCTTTTTCATACCACCCTTTCTTCCCGACACCCCACCCACTACTTTACTTCAGCGTGGGCAGACTGAACTCTACAAAGGATGCGGGCTAGCTCTCCCTGTTCCTCTCGTTGTTCCTCTCTCACTGCTTCTGATCGCCCCTCCCCTCCTCACAATGTCTAGGAGAGATTCCTTGCTTTGTAGTTACCTCAGGTTCCCTTCCTTGTGGTGTCTAGGAGAGATTCCTTGTCCTTGTAGCTACCTCAGGTCCCCCCCTTCTTGCGTGTCCTTTTCGAATTCAGAGTCAGTCTCCGCTATTGCTCTCTCTTTGGATCACTCGCTAGCTGAAGAGAAGCGATCAGCAGGTAACCTAGCTGATGAGGAGGATTGGTGCGGCTCTCTCAGACTTACAAACGCCAACAAGGCTTTACGTCATTGCTATCTCACACACACATTCACAATCTCAACAACCCTCCATCCTTTCTAAACATCTCGAGCTCGAGCATGATCACGCGTTTGCATGAGCATCTCTTTTGAGTTGATTATCTGCAGCAGAATGATCAGACAGCTAAGAGAAAAAACATCCAACATCACACGACCTGCTTCCGTCCCGTCAGCTTCCTCCTCCTATGTATCAGCCTTGCTTCCAAGGAAGCTGCGAACGTTTGCATGGAAGCTTTGCCAAGTAGCGGCAAGAGGATTCGCTGGAGCTTCGTTGGCATCTTGAGTCTGCTCGGAGGATTTTTCAAGCTCAAACGTCTGGATGATCTCTTCTATCTCAGCAAGTCCACGCTGTGAAGAAAAGATTGAGATCAGGCTATCACAACCACCACCATCATAAGAGCATCACCTGCAGCTCTGTTATCTTTTTATGCATTTCAATCTCTTCGGGGCTAGGCTGTTCCTCAACCTCTTGGGCCTTTTCCTCGCCGATTTCCCCATTCCCTTGTTGCAGATCAACTTGAATATCTGCGCTGTCCACTTTTGTATCTGCATCAGCCAACGACTTATGCCCCGGAGCAGGTTTTCTGAGCATCAGGTCGGAGCTCACAGAAACCATGGAGTTCTTGCGGGAGCCAGCGACCGACAGTTCCTTCTTCTTGAGGCAAGGCTTCATGCAGTACATCACCAGCGCAATGATCTGCTCCAACAGCCCCACGCACAGCCCAGCAAAGAGAAGAGCCATGATCAAAGTGAACAACCCTTGAATGTTGGAGAACGTCAGCTGAATGGAGCCCCCAGCTAACGAGCTGCACGACATGGTTGAGAGCCCCGGAATGTTGTTGTCTTCTATCGAAGCCAGCAGTCCGATCTGCTTAATGTACTCGATCGCCTGACTGAAACCCTGATAGTCCGTGCTGTTCCGATGAAACACCAGGCCGTACCCGAAAGGATTGAAAATGTTGCCAGCTGTCACAACAGAACCAGAGATTGCATACCACTTGTTGTTGTTGGGGTTTTGACATTTCTTTGCAGAGTCTCGGGTAGGGCAAACACAAGATTCCTGGTCTATTTTTGTCCGATCGGTGCAATATCCCCCCTGCAAGTCGATTGAGCATTTATGGAAGAAGATGAATAATGAGCAACTCTTACACCATCCCCGCACATTCCCGATGAATACAGTCGGTTCATGTAGTAGAGAACTGTGGGTTCGTCGAAAAAGGTTGCTGTGGCCTGCAAGTATGAAAATCAATTCCTATGAAACAATCTCAAATCATCCTTCGACCTTGCCCGTATAGACTGAAAACAAGCAATCCTGATAATTACATCGGTCAAACTTCACTCGATACAGTCACGACAACAACCTCGATGGTGCTGTTTGTTATGATATTGAAGTTTGACTGGCCTGTACCAATAAGGTCTGATTTTTTCACATCAAGCCAGCTCTGCATAGATGGGTTCAAGGTTGAAATGCAAATTGAGTTTTTCTGACACAACACATAATCAGAATGTTTTCCTATACGACGGTGGTGAAAGGATCACCTTACCTTGTTGTAATAAAAGGAAGCAGGGTCAACGAAGTCATCGAATTGAGTAACTTTCGTTTGCATGGGGATCGTGAACAAGAAGGTAGCGAGGTTTCCGGTGTACATGGAGACGAGGATGAGAGCGAACAGCAACTGGAAGGAAACCACGAGTCTTCCAGCGTTGGTCGTGGGCGCCTTGTCCCCAGCCCCCAAGAGCAGAGTGAAGGACCTGACAGATAGGGCTTAGTGTGCGAAACAAGAGGGGAGGGGAGGGCTCAGTGGGAGTATTTCCCACCAGTAGATCGCATCGTACGACTGCGAAATAAGGTTCCAGATAATCTTCACGATCCTCTCGCACAATCCCAGCTGTAAATCTTCAATCGCTGGCGAACCCCAAAGATCCTTCGGCAGGTTTCAGTTTGCTGCGACAGAGAGATTGATCATCAAGACCTGGTTTGTTCCGTACCCTTCTGTCCACATGAATAAAACCCCACAAAGTATGATTTCGATCACTGAGCATCACACAATTCAGGGTGAGAAGTTTGATCTGGAAGAAAACAATCATTGTTCCTACCGACAAGGAACCAAAGTAGCCAGTCAAATGGATCAAACGCTGCCATAAAGGAAGGATTCGACTTGATCAAAGTCAGGAGACATGAGAATAAGATTCTTTCAAGAACCTTTGACTCTAGAACTGCCATCACAAATCCGCTCTCCATGAACGGTTGTGTCAATCGATAAGTCTTCGTGCTGTGCAACCATGATCAGAATAGTCTTTCAAAGATAGTACCATGAATGACTCTCACATATCTGATGTGATCTTAACTGGCCCAACAACCATACACCTGTAGCCAAAGCTCACACAAGTTCATTCAAGAACCATGACAATCAACCTGTCTTCAGCGCCGCACATATCTGCAATGCTGCCAAAATATCCAGGTGCTGTCATTGGCCTTGATTACTTTCTGATACTGTTATTTGACATCGTTACACTCACTTCCAGAGAACAAGTTCAGAGACTCGTTCTTTGTAGGCGTGTTGCAGTACTCTGACACTCGGTCAATGAAGGAAAATAGAACATGCTGACCATCACTCTGAGAATTATAAAGCTGGACGTTGCACGGGTAGTAGTACTTGAAAGAGACTCCCATCTTTGAACTTGCGGTCAATCATGTATAGGGGAACAGACTTCATCTTACGGTGGTTGACAGTGCGCCGAGCATGTCGATGCTGGTTCCTACATGTCAGCAGCGTAGACACAGAGGGCACAAGGCCAGCAACACCTCAGCCCAGAAAGTTTTCCGTTCCCGGGTGTTCTTGTTTGATTCAGGTTCCCAGGATCCTGGTCAGCAGGATTTGTGCTGTTAGCAAAGTAGTCTTGAATCGAGACGAAGGGAGGATCCTGCTCAGCTTGTCAGCTAATGTCCTTTCGCCATGCAGCATCACATGGTAAATGATTGCAGAGTACGTGTAGCCATCAAAGCTCGCCAGAGGCTTCTGTGTCGAAGGATCATAGAAAACTTTCGCCGAATCGAGATGAGGCTTCCTGCATGCCCAAGTCACTCGCTTCAAGTCTGAGAATTGCCGATCAGCTACTTTTGCGAAGCAGCTTGGTTCTTCATTACAAACTCTTTCATGGAAGTCATATACTCCTTGAATTTCGTGATCTGACGTTTGTTCATCTTGCTAACTCCAGCATCAACTTCTTGCAGCAATTGATTCACGTCCAAGTCAACCGCGTTGCCCTCAAGCTGCTTCGAAACGAACGGGGAAAGACTGCGGAGCGATCGGAGGTCGGTTTGGTTGTCTGCGTTGATTCTGCTAGACGGTGATTGAAGACGAGGAGAAGGGAGCACATGATCGTTCGGATGCGCCTGCTCGCTCGCTCTCCCTCCCACAATCGCCACGGCCAACACCAGGACCGAACGCAGCGGCATGGCAGTCGGCATGGGGAAGAAAGTGGCACAAAAGGCCTGCAGGAGACGTCGGAAAGCGGGGTGGAAGATGGGAGATTGAGGGGTCCCGAATCAAATCAAGAGGGGGTAGGGGGTATACATAGATGGGGGTAGGGGTGTCAGGATATATTCGGAGAATTGGCTTGTAGAAACATGAAGATAGACCTGGGGTAGGGGTGGTGTAGCCCCTACCTACCAGATATCGGGGTACTGCGAGTGACAAATTGGGGGTGGTCTGAATGGAATTTTTGTGCATTGAGGAGGGTGGGGGGTCCTTTGTCAGTAAGGTTGGGAGTGTTCCAATGAAAGGTGGGGTGGGGTGGTCAGTAACTTTCAATTCAACGGGATGCGACCAAGGAAAAATTCATGAGGAGAAGAGGACGGGAGGAAGGAAGGTGGAGAGGAGAGGAGGGACTGAGGGACTTGGAGAGAGGGAGATCAGAGGGGGGGGCAAGATGACGAGTAGGAAGGGGATCAAAAGACAAAGAGGTTGAGCCGAAAGAATGTAACTTGTAGAATCGAATATCCGATGAGATTGGAGATTTTGAAAAAATCAATGATGAAACGACTCGAAAATTCAAGAAAGGGTGAATGATGCATGCATGATAGTTCTTCAGTCAAAATTTGTTATTTCTGTGAAACTTTCTTTTATTTTAGAGATATCAAAGACATTCGAATGAATGAATGAACATCTCGGAATGGCTAGATGGATGTACAATGCATACTGCACAAATTTCTTCCACTCCGCATCTGAAAGTAGTTTTCAAAATTTTGATAGACTTTCGATGTCATGAAACGATTTGACACTCTGCTGTTGTACAGATGCTGTCAGTGTACAGGAACAACCACCTTTGTTGGTTGAGATGACAAGAACTTTTGCGCAATTCGAAACCTCGCCAGGACTAGAACTACAGGCAACGAGCAAGACTGTACCTGCATGGATGAGCAGAGGTCGATGATTTTGTATGCAGACAAGATGTCTTGGTGTTGATCAGATGTGTCTTTCAGGTCAGCGACTCAGAAGCAAGGTCATCAGGACACTTGCAGATGACTCCTCCGACGAGGACGATGGCCCGAGGTTCTCCTCCAGCGACCGCCCCTCGTCCTCCATCGTCGCGTCGGGTCACCCGCCCAGCAGCTCTCTGTGGTTTGCCGCTATTCAGAATCGGAGTCAACCTGCCCTGAGATCCTCCTTGCGATCAAGGAGAGTCGACAACCTCAGCTCGTCTTGCTCACAGCCTGAAACCAAAGTGAAGGCTGGTCACGATGAGAGCGGCACTGCTTCTCCCGATACCAAGGTGCCATCAAGACTTGAGAGACTGAGTAGCCTCCGCAATCGAGCTGCAACAGTGTCTCATGAATCGGTTTCCAACACGATAGAGCCAGATGGTGGGCGGAATGCAGAATCTTGGAGGCTTCAGACATTCGCCGAAGCCATGGGAAGCGATGGAGCTGGCTACGTCTTGCAGCAGCAAATGGTTACACACCTTTACGAGTTTTGTTGTTGCGATTTCACTGAACCTTTCACTAGGTGAAGGTTCCTATCCAAGCAAGGCATCCGTTGCTTGCTCACGAAATTCGCGGTACACTGAAACGATCTCCTGATCACCTAACTGCAACGAATGTCGTGAAGTTACGTAGAGGAATTGTTCTCACAAACAACCAAGTTTCAAATGTTCGTCACTTAGTCGGAATTGGACCCCGGGCAATCATCATAGTGGATGACAAAAAGGTTTCACCTCGATGCGATCTACTACAAATAGCAGACGAAATGAGGATACCTATCTTTACAATGTCCTCCCGATATGCCTCTAAATTGAAATCAGATCATGTCGTGGTGATTTGTTATGACCCCGCTGAAAATTGTTCAAGTGCAAGCTCCACAAGGCATGAAAAGATGCCCCGACAACATGACGTCACAGCTTTGCCGCAAGCCGGGCGTGCGGAGGTTCATCTTGGCGACGATTCAGGTCTGCTGTCCATTGGCTTGAAGACCTGCGATCTGACTGAATGACAGATGATGATGACTTGCTGCTTCCGGCTGCAAGTTTGGCTCATGCTGGGGTTAGAGTGTCTGCTGAGGGTGGCGAAGCATCACAAGGCCTGACCTCTGTCAATGAAACTTCCCATCTCGTTCAACAAACGATCCTCAACGATACTCTGGAACCCAGCTTGCTTGAAAACAGCCATGCCGTTTCACATGGCTTTCCAATCTTCACCAAACTTTGTAATGGCTCTGAGCAAAAGGAGGACACTCCTGAGGAGGAGAGTGCTTTTATCATGGGACTGGTCAAGTCGCTCCTTCAGGAAGACCCCCATACTCTTGCTGGATATCTCGAAAAGGCAGACGAGATCTGGAAAAATCAGGAGACAAAGTTGTTATGGCATCGTGCGATATTGGAGATGAAAGATTTGCTCTTGGAACAAATGAAATCTGAAGTCTTGAGTACAAGGCGAGAATTTGTGACTCGGCTGAGAAATCTGTGCAGAATTGATGATAATATAATCGTCAAGGAAGTACTGGAAGACTTGTGCTGCAACTCAAACGTCTTTCTTTTCTTGTTGACCATTATACAAGAGACGATCTCTGACGAGACGTTTCATTACAAGAAGATGCAGATCGACGCAGCAGCTTGTCTAAGGCAACTTGCTCTTTACACCAAACAGCGTAGAATTCATCTGAAGGAGACTCCTGAAATCCTGCAGAAAGCAGCAGAAGTACTAGGCAAGGATGGGGACTTTGAATTCAAGCAGAGGCTTGTTGCTTTCGTGGCGAACTTGTCGATCGATGACCCGGGAATACGTGAGGTGATGGTGAGGAATAGCGACCTCTTGAACAGCATGAAGGATCTCTTGGAGCATGCAGACCAGAGCGCAATCAATGAGAATGTGCTTGCAGTCTTCTTCAACCTCTCGATGGATGTCCAACAAACCCAACGGATCTTGAAATTCATCCCCATGCAGCGACTGATCGATGTCCTACTCAATGGCAGCCCGAAAGCCAAGTACCGGGCAGCAGGGCTGCTGAAGAATCTACTCAAGAACATCGAGCTGCATGACGTTCTCAGTCGCACAGAGAGCATCCGAGAGGCTGTCGCTCATGCGATGGCGCGAGGTGACGATGAGACTCGGCAGCGAGCGACATCCGTGCTCAAGACGTTGGAGGGGACCTTGAGGAGGAGTGCAGCAAGCCAAGAAGAGGATCATGGCGCCGTGCAGTCCGCTAGCACGAGGCTGCTCAAAGTTGGGATCTTGCAGGGCACCGTTGCAGGTAGTGCAGAGGAGGCGGGAGAAGCTTCAGGTACATCTCTCCCCTCCTCCTCTCCCTTCCTCCCTCCCCTTCCCTCATCCTCCCCTTTCCTCTCCCGCTCTCCCGCTCTCGTCTGCCTCATGGCGTGATTTGATCGGCAGGCCACGTCAACGTCATGTTGTGCCGGGTGGGTCAGGAGCCGCAGGTCTTCCATACGGCCCGAGTGAGAGCTCAGGACGGCAGGTGGGTTTGGAACGAGGAGCTGATGCTGATGGTGGAGGAGGAGCGAGCGGATCAGGTTGAGCTCAAGATGAGCTGCCGAGTAGAGAAGCCGTCGGGGATGGAGATCGGAGACGCGGAGCCGATACCCCTCAGCTACATCCTCTCCTTGCAAGACTTGTGCCTCACCTGCCCCGCCTACTCCCGACGTGACGACAACTTAGTGGTGATGCGGATGGAAGTCACTCTTTCCCTCCTCGACCAGGGCCAGCCCTCGCACGTTGCAGCTCCTCCTCTTCCTCGCTCCGAGGACCAGCAGCCCTCCAACGTGCCCTGCTCGGAGCAGCTGAACCTGCTGTCCTACGAGTGGAAGCGAAGTCTCATCGCCAACTCAGACTGTCAGAAGCTCATCGCCCAGACTTGTGCCGTGGCCGCGTCGCTCGACGAGAACAGCCACCTGCAGATGCCGGAGAAGTGGACGATGTACAGCAAGCTGCTGGCGCTGGTGCTGGACATGTGCTCTCACGACCCCAAGAACACGGAATACCTTCTTGCCCATGACAAGTTCCTCCAGCAACTCATCAGCCTCCTGCAACCTCTGCAACCCTCGGCTCCCCCTACGAGCAGCAGCAGCAGCAGCAGTTGCAGCAGCAGCAGTTGCGGTAGCAGCAGGGCGCAGAGGAAGGCCGAGAGAGCCAACGAGACCAGATGTCGCAAGCTTGCAACAAACTTGCTTGCCATGTGCGCCGCCAAGACGGAGAATCGAGCCCGAGTGATGGGCGTGTTTGAGATGTTGCGCGCAAAAACCTGGTATAAGGCCAAGGCAGAAGAAGCGAAAGAGTTTGCGAATTATGACAGTGAAGAGAGAGAAAGTATAGTTGAAGCTATGAATTAAATAAACAACAGCAGATCTGTTTGTGCAATTCATGGTGAATGTGAATGCTGATTAAGCGAGGAATAGCGAGGCGAGGCAGGTAGAAAGAATTACAGGAGAGAAGGGATCACAAGGCCAGGAGGGAGCAAGGAAGGAAGGAATCACAAGAAACAAACGTTGCTTTCTTTTCTTGCGATGAGGTATCTCATCGGATTTCGGGAAGGTGACCATACTTCTGCCGTATTGCTGCATCGCGGTCAGCTACTTGGCTCCCCCCCTCGCGCTACCTCGTTGTCCTGCCTCGTACTCCTCGTCGGTCAACACGCCCTGCTTGTGATGCAGCTTGACCTGCTCGAGCTCAGCTTTTCGCTGCACGTAGTCGCCTTCTATGCTCTTAGCATACTTGAGGGACGGTGACCTAGTTGCTCATCAGGAACAAGCACCATCTCCGTCTCTCCTTACCAGATGTAGCCAGCAGAGAGCATGCCAGCACACGCTGCGATGAAGTATTGCAGGGAACTATTCCTGTACATCCTGATCCCAACTCAACAATACTGAGCGATCCCCTTTCATCGCCCTCTCCTCTCTCCTTAACCCCCCCACCACCTCTCTCCTCCGCATTTCTTCGCATCCCTCCCTCCTTTTCCCCCTCATCCCTCTCCTCCTGTCTCTCCTCATCCCTCCTCTCCTCCTCTCTCTCTCCTCCTCTCCTCTCTTCTTCTCCTCTCCTCTTCTCTCCCTCCCCTCCCTTCTTATCCCCCCTCCCCCGGTGTCCCCGCATGGCGCGATGTAACAAATAAAGCCTCGTTGCCTGATAACTAAAATCCATGAGGGGAGCCGTTGATCCCTGTCAAGGACGAGAGCGATGCGAGAGAACGAGTTGGGGAGGGGAGGGGAGGGGAGGGGAGGTGGAGGGGAGGGGAGGGAGGGAGGGAGGGGAGGGAGGGAGGGAGGGAGGGAGGGAGGGAGGGAGGGAGGGAGGGAGGGAGGGAGGGAGGGAGGGAGGGAGGGAGGGAGGGAGGGAGGGAGGGAGGGAGGGAGGGA